GGTAGCCCAGGCTGGCCTCGAACTCACAGAGATCCACCTGGCTCTGCCTCCCGAGTGCTGGGATTAAAGGCGTGCGCCACCACCGCCCGGCCTGATATTTCTTTAATGCAAAGCTTTCCTCTAGAAATAATTTTATTCTTTATTCTTTAGTGGATGAAAGCAGAGGACTCCTCTAAAGTTAGTAGTGGAACACCTATCAAAATTGAAGATCCCAATCAGTTTGTTCCTTTAAACACGAACCCAACTGAGGTGCTAGAAAAGAGAAATAAGGTAAGCCATGGCTCTGTGGCCAGAGAAGACTTCTTTATCCTGTTCAGTGTAATTCATTAGGGATGGGATCTGATCACATGCTTAGAAGTGTGAAAACCTAAGAGTTAAATTCACGAGTTTTAGCTTGATCGGATACCTCCAGCTCTGTGCTAGTCATCAGTGAACAGGCTCTATGAGAAAGGAATAGTTGCCGGGCGGTAGTGGCGCACGCCTTTAATCCCAGCACTCGGGAGGCAGAGCCAGGCGGATCTCCGTGAGTTCGAGGCCAGCCTGGGCTACCAAGTGAGCTCCAGGAAAGGCGCAAAGCTACGCAGAGAAACCCTGTCTCGAAAAACCAAAAAAAAAAAAAAAAAAAAAAAAAAGAGAGAAAGGAATAGTCAACATGTTTCTGCTTTAAAGTCCTTCATAGCAATGGGAAGTACAATTCTCTCACAGCGTAACACAGTAGGAAACTAAAAGCGAAAGGGTGGAGATAAAAGGGGCCTTACTTCATGGAGGTGAAAATCAAAGAGACTTTTCCTTGGGAGTGTCAAACAGTAGCTTTTAGGAAAAGAGGAGGCAGAGGTCATCTGCATGGTGACCCCAAGAACTTATTGTTTCCATTCAGATTCGGGAACAGAATCGATATGATCTGAAAACAGCAGGACCACAGTCTCAACTGCTCGCAGGAATTGTTGTGGACAAGCCACCTTCTGTAAGTCTGGGGCATTGTATCTTGGGTTTTGATCTGCCACATAGATTCTTTGCTTTTTTTTTTTTTTTTTTTTTAACTGAGGTTGCTAAAAGTAAAAATGTAAAAGTCAAAAGAATCCATCTCATCCCCAGTTTCCAGAGGCAAAGACTGACTGTTCCTTCAATTTCCAGAGGCAAAGACTGACTGTTCCTTCAGTTGCTTCAAGCACTTGCCTTCATGTTTTTAAATAGCATCTTTATGCTCCAGCTCTACACACCTGTAATTCTGATTTTGGAGGACAAGAAAGGAGGATTGCAAGTGTGAGGAGAGCCTGGACAGCATAGCATGACACCCATCTAAACTACACTTTTTTTTTATCTGCTTTTTCTTGGTTTATTAGATTTAAATCTTGACTCATTTTATCAGGATAGCTTTTTATCAGGATAACAAGTATTTATTTATTTCTCACTTAAAGAGAAAAGGTACTGCCATTTATATTATAGGAAGCTATAAATTATGATTTCCAATTTCAGAGATTAGAAAATGTGAGGGAAAGTTCATCTTAGAGGTAAGAGCAGTGGTGGCCCTTTTATGGATGAACATTTAGTTCAACCTGTTTACAAAATGCTTCCAGTCCTTCCACTAGCCCTCTAGGAGGTGTGTCATATTTGGTGTTTGTTTGTTAATAAATCAGCTTCCGGGGTTTATGTTGTTATGTGTTTGCTATTGACCAGGTGGGTCTCCCATGTACATTCTTTCCTTTCTCACACAGCCAGCTCCCAGCCTTAAGTTAGTAATTGCTCTTCTTTCATGTTAGCATGGTGCTCAGGGTACATTGCCATAGCTCTTCCCAGACCTTTTCACTTGACCCTCAAAACCACACACAATAGAGATTGCAAATAAATAACCTTAGTGATGTAGCTTAAAATGAAAATAAGCCAACTCCAAATTTAGTAAGAGAAAAGAATAAAGATCAGAATGGATACATACGTAGGTAGGTAGGTAGGTAGGTGGGTGGGTGGGTGGGTGGGTAGGTAGCTGCTAGAGGCCATACTAAACAAATGAGAAAGAAGACATAATGAAATTAGAGTTGAAAAGTGGGATATTAAAATTCAGACAATCATTAGGGAGTACTCTGAAAATTTACATTCTAATAAGTTGGGAAATATAAAAGAAATTGATGAATTTCTACATACCTATGACTTACCAAAATTGGGCCAAGCAGTTAAAAACAAAAAAAACAAAAAAACTCAACAGATCAGTACCAAGCATCTGTTACAGAGGTGTCTGTTGTGCGCCACGAGGAAGGAGAGCAACAATACTTAAGGGTTCCCAAGTCTCTAGTAATCACCTAATCGGGATCGCAGATAGGTCAGAGCTGCAGGACAGGACTCAAGAGCTGGGGCAGAAGTGGGGTTTATAAGCACACCTGTGCCAAGTTACAGTTACATTGTCACCACTCAGGATTCAGGGATTGGGGCTTTCTTTATCTGTTCCATCATTGTCAGCCAACACAGAATGTCCGACCAGTTATATTCATCTGTTCCTTTTGTTGTTAGATTTTGTTGTTAGGAACAGGCATTATGCTTTGGGGATTGTTTCCTAGGGAGGAAGTTGGTTAGCTTCTGGACAGTCCCCCTGGGAACTTGGACTTTGTTTCACCCTACAGGTAAAATGGAGTCTGAAGTCAAAATGTCTCTGCTTAGGCCAAGGTGCTTTTGTCTGCTCCCTTCAAAACAAGACCAAAGCAGTAACAGTGTCCCAGCAAAGAAAACCCTTGGGCTGGACAGTCACTATTGAATTCTATCATACTTTTGAAGAAGAGTACCATTGTTCCTTAAACTACTAGCTCATAAAATAGAAAAGGAACACTTTCACTCATTCTACATAAACAATAATACCTTGATTCCAAAACCAGATAAAGATACAGTTGGGGGAAAAAGCTGTAGGCCAGTTTTCTTAATGAACACAGATGCAGAAATCCTCGGTAAAATATTTGCAGATCAAATTCAAGAACACATTGAAACATCACACACCATGATCAAGTTAGTTTCATTCTAGGAGGAGAAAAGGAAGGAAGGGTTGGGAGTATTACAATACGTGACTCCAATTTATTCTACAGAGCCATAGTAAAAAAAAAAAAAAAACTGGCAGTGATGGACAGCCCTGCATGTAAACCAGCAGGGTACAACAGAGAACCCGAAAGAACCCCACAGCTATATCCACATGACTTGACAAAGTGCCGAAGACATATAGGAACTGCCCGTCCACTTGTAAAGGGCCAAAACCAGGTCCTGCTTCTCACCCTGCACAGAATTCAATGCAAAATGTATCAAAGACCTTAATCAGAAGCTGGAGTTCTGACACTGCTGTGAAAAACATCCTGGGGAAGGAACCTGGAGAGCTAGGCAGCAACTTTATGAAAGGAACTCCAGTTAGATGCAGAACTAAGCAGGAGTTGATAGCCGTGACATGACAAAGTTGAAAGTGTCTACACAGCAGTGGGGAGCAACAGCAAAGAGAAGGGAAGAAACCTTTGCTCGCTATTCTTCTGACAAGTGATTGGTACTGAGAAGACAAAGAACTCAAAAAGCTAAGCACCCAAACAACAAATAAGCTGATCCATAAATGCAACAGAATAACTACATGGGGGGAAAAAAAGTTCACTATCTTTAGCCATTAGAAAAAGTGCAAGAAAACTAAAATTCACCTGAAGTACAAAAGACCCCAAATTGCCCAAGTAACCCTGAGCAAAACCATACACATAGGAAGACTGAAACTAGATCCTGACCTCATCTTGGACAAAGTTGCCTCAGAATGGGTCATAGGCCTTGGAGTAAGATCTGAAACTTTGGAACTTACAGAGCTCTTCAAAACTTAGAGTTTATTAAAATGACTGTTTGGCAAAATTACTTCAGGTGAGGAAATTTCATACCATGAATAAAATTCCAAAGCTCCTCTGGAATTTTTCCATATACGTTTGTGATCATATTCATGTCCCATTATTTTTGCTTATCCTCTCCCCAGCCCCATTCCTCTTCTCAAATAGCCACCTTCCTGTTTTCATGATCCCTTTACATTCCAGATTTCACATATGAGAGATAACTTGATGATATGCATCCTTTTGGATCTGTCATGTTTTCACTTAACATGATGATCTCTGGTCACAACCATTTTCCTGCAATAATCTGATTTTGTTGTTCTTTGTGGCTAAATAATAATACTCCTTTGTGTATATGTACACTTTCTTTATCTACTCATCTGTTCCCATGTATCTCTATTATATATTGACTGGCTGCTTCAGGGAATTATATAGTTTGATCATATGGTAGTTCTGTTTATAATCTGATCAGAGTATTTTAAAAGTTAAAAATCATGTTGCTTTGTCATTTCTTACAATTACTATGAAGTGGGTAATCACAAGCATTTATTTGGGAGTGTGTGTGTGTGTGTGTGTGTGTGTGTGTGTGTAAATAGGTAGATAAAGATATGAAAAATATGTAAAGCATTTGATAATGAATCGAATTTGTTGGGGTTTTTTCTTTGTAAGACCATGCAATTCGAAGATGACGATCAGGGCCCACCAGCTCCTCCTAACCCATTCAGTCATCTCACGGAAGGAGAACTTGAAGAATATACGAAGACAATCGAAAGAAAGCAACGAGGCCTGGACGGTCAGTTCCTCTTAGGTTAGGTCTGGAATCACCACACTGATAACATAGAGCACCCAAGCTGGATGACAGATCAGTCAGAGCTTTTGCATTCTATTGTAGCTCATCTGCTCTAGTCCTTTCCTGGTACAGGTGAGGCTAAAATGCAGAAAAGCACTCCTACTTGTTCAGACAGAGAAACCTGCTCTTCTCAGAAAGCAGTCTGAACGTGGGCCGTGTTACCTTCAGTTTAGAACACCAAGGCCCAGAGGAACAGAGGCTTTCTAGACAAAGTAAAGACAGCTCTTGCTTAGACCATTGCATGGTATGTGGATTGTTTGTCACAGATTCTCAAGGACATGACTGTGATGCTTTGTGAGATCTCTGTTCCTGGTGTCAGGGTACCAGGAGAAGCATTTCCACATCAACATTTAGCATATACTGCTAGGAATTTGAAGTTACTTTCTTAGGGCCCATGGGTGCTCTACTGCATTGAGTTTCCCTGACTTTGGAAGTCTTTGGCAGTTTATAAGTGGGTAGTTAAGAACTGGTAGTGAAGAGCCAAGTATAGAGGCATATGCCTGTAATCCCAGCACCAGAGGCTGAGGCAAGAGGATTGTTAATGAAAGACTAGCCTAGGCTAAATAGGGAAATTTTGTCTCAAAAAAGTAAATAAATTACTAATGAAAAAGCCCTAGCAGTTGAGTCCTAGCTCTGCTTTGCTCTAGAGTAAGAGATTGATCTTAGCAGGGTTTCTCAGGACTGGGTCTTTAAGCCACCTGAAAAATAGACAATGAATTATGTATGAAGTCATCTGGGCACGCAGGAATCAGGGTAGAAAATTACAAGTCTGATTCAGTAAGAGACCCTGCATTGGCTCATCTACAGTGCCCATTTAGCATTTCTGCCAAAGCAAAGCAGAAGCCAATGATAAAAGAATTGTCTGTGTGGCCAAGTTCCAGACAGCCAGGGCTGGGGCAAGGGGTGGGGTCTCTATGTTAAATACTGTGGATTACCTGATAGCTAATGGCTAGTCTCTCACCATCCAAGAAACCATTTTATCAGTGTATTCACTTGATCACAAAAGCAGCTTACCCTACTCATTAACATACTTACAGCAAATTTTTCTCAATGGCATATTTAACTGTTTGTTCTAACATAAGAAAGAAACATTTTATTATATTTTATAAAATGTCCCTGTTTAATCTCTTATTTTTGAAAGCCTAAAGATGCCAGGTAATAAATATACTATAGACATCACTTTTTGTATATAACTTTGTAAGTAATTTCCTTTACATTCCTGCATTAGCTCACTAATACTCTCTAACAGGAATCACTAACTGGAAATGGTTAGAAACTCATTAATGTGGCAACACTGTAACTCTTCTCATCTGCCTATGTAGATTTCGGTTTCCCATACTAGCAAAAGCTAAATGCATATGTTTTCTTTGTCTGGGCTGCCAATATCCATGCTTCTTTTAACCCAGGATGAAAAATTACAGTTCATGGCCAAAAGTTTTAACACATTAATCTCCTCAGAATCATAGTCACTGACATGTGGGATAGCTCTTAGCATGCTCAGCTCATAGCTGAAGAACTTAGCGCCTCTGTGAGCAGGCATTGGATGTGCACACTAACCTCTGAAACCGTAAGCTTCCTTGTTTGTTTGCATGGCTTTTAACTGAACATCTTATTCAACAGACGCTGAGCAGGACTCACTCTCAGATGACGCTGCATCTGTTTCACAAATTCAGTCTCAAACTCAATCACCGCAAAATGTCCCTGAAAAATTAGAAGGTATTCAATGTAATTTCCCATAGCCTTCACATCGTAAGAATCTTGTCGATTGTGCCCATGTAAGAAATTGAACGCTTGTTTACAGTAACTTTGCCAGGGTTTTACTGAATTCTCCCAGAATGTTACACATTTATGAATGGGATGCTACTTTTATTCATCATTTATATTGATTCACTTTTGCCTGCCTTGGGCTAACCCACAATTTTTAAGAATTTGTGGAATTAGCCGGGCAGTGGTGGTGCACACCTTTAATCCCAGCACTCGGGAGGCAGAGCCAGGTGGATCACTGTGAGTTCGAGGCCAGCCTGGGCTACAGAGTGAGCTCCAGGAAAGGCGCAAAGCTACACAGAGAAACCCTGTCTCGAAAAAAAAGACAAAAAAAAGGATTTGTGGAATTAAAATTGACTTGTCATGTCATACATCTTCTAACCAATAGCATGAAGTTCTTTACAGTTTTAAATGTCAAATGACCCTCAAACTAGAGAAAAATGTGTTGTCATCTTCATTTATAATGATTTCATTTACAGTGAAATGACATGACATCAAACTACAGTCATCTTTGACTCCTTTAATGCCTGTGTTCTCCTCCCTCTGTATCACTTAAGAAGCTTAGCTTCATGCTAATAGATAGATACATAGGTTATTAAAATAATAATCTGTCCTCATTAAAATTAAGGCAATGCCTCAGTACATTACTAAAACTTCTGTTTTGAGAACTAAACAGAAATGTTGACTGTGTAAATCATAATCCCCCTAAACCTTCCCCTTTTGTAGAAAACCACGAGCTATTTTCCAAGAGCTTCACCTCCATGGATGTGCCTGTCATGATTGTGAATGGCAAGGATGAGATGCATGATGTTGAAGATGAGCTTGCTCAGCGCGTCAGTAGGTTAACTACGAGCATGACCATAGAGAACATCGAGATCACCATTAAGTCTCCAGAAAGGACTGAAGAGGTCCTGTCACCTGATGGCTCACCCTCAAAGTCACCATCCAAGAAAAAGAAGAAGTTCCGCACGCCTTCTTTTCTCAAAAAGAGCAAAAAAAAGGAAAAAGTTGAGGCATAAGTAGTCTTTTTGTAATTTGTATATTACAATGTGACATTGCACAATTAAATACCACATTTTAGTTCATTGTTAATATACAGTGGTAGATTGGATTGGGGGTATATAGCAAACTGGACTTTAAAAACTGGAAAGAAGTTTTACTAAAAGAAAAACATTATGGAAAACTTTTAAATTCATCTCTTTTTATATGTCCAAAAATGGCTTTGAACTTTTAAACAGTTGCTAGTTTTACTTAGCACTACCCTCACGAAGTATTATTGTTGTTAATCACTAACAGACACCTGTCTGTTACTTCAGGCCTTCTCCACCATTTCTGCTGGAAAGAAATTGCCAGTGAACAAGTGAGAATTTTGCCTTCTCAACAGCTGCCTCACTTGCTAATCAGACTGTGATTTTGTCATGGTTATTGACTGTGTCTTTTGGGTCCCCATTGTTACAATGGGCATTAATGGAATGCTTTCAAAGCTTCTACAATAAGAATCTGTAGCATTAGTATACACTGGCACATAATTTTTTTAGATGTTTTAAGAAAAGATTTGTTTGGAATTTTACTCATTGTATGAAATTCCCTCACCTGAAGTAACTATTTGCCAAAAAAGTCATTTTAATAAACTATAATTTTTGAAGAACTTCCTTTTTTATTAGTTTAGAAAGCCCCTTATTTTTCATAGAGGGGATTTTGTATACATAACATGAGTTATTTAGTTTAACTCTGGCAAAAACAATTTTTGTATGTTGAAACATTTGTATCCCTTCAGTATAAGGTGTCATGTGCATCTACCAATCAGTTGGCAGTAGAGCATCCCTCAGGCTGCTTGATACCCAGTGTAGTTCAAGAGTCCAGGGACATGGCATCCAAAGGTCATAGAAAGGTCTAGATTCCTATTTGAACCGTATAATGTATTTTTCTCTTAGTATTGCTGACGGCTGAAGAGTATCTCCTAAGGAACCAAATGAAAAGGTTGAAAGGGAAAGGGGAAGTAAGGGAAAGGATGGGAAGGAAGAGTCTACTTTGATGATGACGTATATCCACAGTGAAATACATAGTTTGGTTTATTGAAAATCAGTCCCAAATTTCTAAAATTCTCTTTCTCTACCAAAATCAGTTTTGGTTGGTATTTGAGTTATAAAGAGATTAAAACGTACGTACTTTTAGAGGACAGCACTAGAACCAATCAGCAGGTCTAATCCCACCAGCAAGAAAACTACCACTTCTTGATTTTTGCAAACTTAAAAATTCTTTTAACTTTCTACTGTAAATACAAATTTAAACCTAGGTTTAATATAGTTTTCTCCATTTTCCCAAGTGATGTCACAGATCAATGTAAATGGATGTTCCAAACTACTCAGTGAGTACACATAATAAAGGCGTCCTGGGGGGCGAGTTGGCATGCGGAAGTTACATTGACCACAGTGTTCTCTGGGCCAGTTCTGTCTGACTGTGTGCTGATGCAAACTTGAAACAGAGCCTGCAAATGTCATTTTAGATCTCACTAACTACTGGAGTCTGTTCATCTCGTAGTGGAAACTCTGAGTTGCTGAACTATGTATCTGAGGACTGTTTTATGTTCTACACCATTTTTGTTGTATTACAACATATGTAGACACAGTAACCTGTGAACTATCCTTTTCCATAACTTTTAAAGAATATATATATCTAAATGAATGCAATGTGCATAAATATTTTTTAAACACAACAGTAAACTATTGCACCTTTTGCTAATGCTTCTATTTACTTGCTTTGGCATAATGAATGAGCCAGTGAACTCAGTGTCCTGTGGAGAAATGTGTAAAAGTTATCTGATATTGCTCTTAGATGTTATGCTAATTAATGTTAAATCACAAATAAACAGTATTTTAAATATATGCATTTGGTATAATGAAGTTTCCATTCAGGAATGATTTCTTAGTTTATACATTGTGGTCTGCCAAGTTTTATGTAAAACAGTGGAACCTATTAGATTGTCTTCTGAGTAAGGAGGTCTCTGATAAATCCGTTTTCAATTTAGTTCAACATTCGTATATATAGCTGGGCTTAGTAGCACATGCCATTAATCCCAGTAGTCAGGGGGCAGAGGCAGGTGGATCTCTGTGAGTTCTAGGACAGCCAAGGCTTCAATAGCAAGACTTTCTCTTAGAAAAAACAAAAACAAAAACAAAAAAATGTCACATGCATATATGTATCAAGTATCACACATATTTACATATGTATGTATATATGTGTGTATTTATATGCATGTGTGTGTATATATACAGAGGGAGAGGGAGAGTGTGTGTGTGTGTGTGTGTGTGTGTAGAAAACCTTTTTGTCCTGGCCGGGTGTGGCGGCCTGAGAATGCTGCTAGGGTAGAAGATGTATGCTGTGCACTGGCTCACAACATTACAACCATTGAAACAACAGTGGAAGGAGAAGAGCAGGAAAAAGGAAATTCACTGTTTTAGCCAAAAAAAATAAATAATAATAAGGTTGTAATTTTTCATTCCCTTCTAGTTCTTGCTCAATTATGTCTGTATTTCCTATAGGTTGATAATCATAGCACGAATATCATTTCTATCCTGTTTTTTTCTACTTAGAATAGCCCACCCTAGAAACACCTGTAATCCCAGCACTTGAGAGATGAAGGCGTGGGGGTCAGGAGTTCAGGCCTTAGATGTAAGAGACCCTGTCTACAAAGAGGAAAACACAGTCTTACAGGTTTTCAACCAAATCCCTCACGTGGATAATTTATTTTCGGTTTTCCTTACTTTGTCCTAGAAATGGAGTACAAGAGGGAAAAAATGTGTTAATTGAAGGTTATGGTTAATCAAAGATTGATAGTCTTGGTTACCTTGGCTTGTAAATAACTCAGTGGTGGAAAAGTGTTTCAGATCAAAAGTCTCCTTACCCCTGGTTCTCACCTGAGTGAGCGTAGATTAGAAAATGATTGCTTGTGTCTTTAAGTTAATATTTCATCATGTCTCGTAACATTATCTTTTTTAATGGGCAGAAAACCCATAAAAGCAAATGAGCTATTTTTAAACTCACGTACATATGCAAATGATCTTGGCCAAACTATCATTTTAAAGAGCCATTTTCTTTGTGGCCACTAGGGGGTGTGACTACCTAACAATCCAGTTTCCAGTTCTGGCACTCTACTTTTTTCTTAGACTGTAAATACCATGTTTGTTGTGAGGAACTTGGATGCCATTTCTTTTGTTGCTTATTCTCGCGAGACTGGCCCTCAGCTCTGTTTTAGCAGGTCCTAGTTCACCAAGACCAGTGTTACCCGCAGTGGTTGTAATGCCTGTGGAGATAGAGAACACGTCAACCATAACAGGAGTGACTGCCTACAGGTCTCATACTTGTGACAATACAGTGACTTCCTTCTTTTTACTAAGGAAGTAGTTGATAATACCTGATGTTTTATGTCTCTGAATACCAAAGATTATGCTAAATGCTTTTCACATATTAGCACACTTGACCCTCTCCGCACCAGCCCAATAAAGTAGAAGGTATTACCCTCATTTTGTGGGTATTAAAACGAAGGTTTGTGGCAGACAGACCTGGTGTATTGACCATAGATTCAGACCAGCAGGATTACTAGTGGCACCTTTGTGCTGACTTCGGTGCAGCTCTAGTGTGTTTGTTCTGTGTTGCTCTGTTCTGTTCTTACAGAGACCAAGTCCACCCACAGTGAACTAGTTTTTAGGTATATTTAGATAAAACACTGACTTTTGATTTGAAAGAATTTCTCCTCCCCAAGTCACCTCAGAATGAAGAACTGGGTGGGAAGTAGAGATGAGCAGTGGCGATGGTGTCTGCATGAAGAATTGTCTCTTGAATCCGTGTGTCCTTCTGACTGGGGGAGTCGGGAGACAGTCAAAAGCAGTTTTAAAAACCTGCAGAGATAGCTTGGTCCAGATATAAACTTCAAGATGAAGTGAGCTACTTATTAAAGTGAATATTGAGATGGTCCTTCTTGGGTAGAAAAACATGCTGGAGTTGAGAATGATTAACTTTTGAGGAGCTTTTAGTAGAAAAAAGTGGTAAACTTGGTTTCCAAAGGGGATTCATTGCTAGAAGCTGACTATAAGGAAGCAATACTGAGTCTATATTTAGTCAAGGGAACTTCATTTAATTTTTTTTTAATTTTGGCTTGAAACTTGATGAGTATGCATCACGAGGTACAATCTAAAGTTGAGGGAAGTTTATAACTATCAGATTGCGTCCTGTGGTCCTTAGAGCGAGGTTATCAATTCTTCAGAGAGATTGTAAGAAAGGGGACTAAGTCAGAATTCAAGAAGGGGTCTTCCACATTTGTGTCTCTTGCTTTCGTACCATAACATGGGCTTTCTTGGACCCCTACAGGAACATAACTCAGGATTAGGTAAATTCTATGTTCCTACAAACTAGTATTTAGTATTTAAAAATAGGGATGAGTAAAGGACATGTATTACAAGACCAAGCTTGAATGTTATTTATCAATCACTCTTTTCTTAACATTTAAAGTTATTGGGGGCTGGAGAGGTGACTGCTGTTTGGAGAGCCAGGGGCCTGGGTCCCATGACTTCAAGCTATGATTCCAGAGATCCAGTGCCTTCTTCTGACTTTCGAGGGCACCAGGACATGTACACAGACATGCATGCAAGCAACACATTCATAAACATAAAAAATTTTTAGTTAAAAGAAGAAACTTTAAAATGTTTGTAAGCTATTAGGTTATCCTTGAGAGTTGTTTAAATATTCTCTCAAGTTAATCATGGTGAGGTTTTCTTTCCACATGGAACTTAAATTTTTAAATGTCACTTGTGATTCGGATGACAAATGCACGTTTTGTTATTCCTTATGCCTAGCAGGGGAAAAGATAGAGATCTATCCAGTCCACAGTTGTTTTTAAAACCCGAAAAATTTCTGTTGGGAAAGGCTTGCCACCAAAACTTTTGCTTCTAGGTTTTATCTCTACACACTGCAGGTTTTGTCCTCCGGAGCCAGCCTTGACCTTGGTTCTGAGGGTAGGGAAATCCCTTATTTTCAGTCTCATGGAAGTTCTGTCACTAGGCAAAATACTAGTTTCCCGCTGAACTTCTTGCCTTAAAAGAAATAGCGTTAATTTTGCTCATTGAATTGGGATGTGCACTGAAGAGAGTTGGGTTTCTAAGAAATCAGTCTAAGTTTTGGTGTTTTGTGGTTTTGTTCATTGTTTGTTTTTGGTTTGGTTTGGTTTTGGCCTTTTTGAGACAGGGTTTCTCTGTATAACCTTGACTACCCTGGAACTTACTCTGTAGATCAGGCTGGCCTTGAACTCAGAGATCCTCCTGCCTCTGCCTCCCAAGTGCTGGGACTAACGGCATGTGCCACCACTTCCCCACGCTTCTAAGATTTTTTAAAATGTGATTTTGAAATGGCAACTAAGGATGAGTATGTCATAGGATAGGTATCATCAAATGACAGAATGTGTGGACACTTTCTCTTCATTATTAGACTCTTCTCAAAAGGCCAGTAAGTCCAGCTTGATGTTCACACCTGTCATTCCAGCGTTCAGAAGCAAAAGGACCTGAAGATTAAAGCCAGTCTGAGCTATATAGAGACGCCTCCTATGGGGGTGGGCGCTGGGAAGTAGCTAAAATGTGCAAGGCCCTAGGTTCAATCCCCAACACTGCAGGCAGAGCAGTAAGCCAGTGCGTCCTGTAGAAAAGCCACTTACTTCAGAGTGGTAACTTACCTAATCTCATGGACCAAATAATGCGCTTCAGGTTAATGACTTAACTGTGAGAGGTGTTGGGGTTTCTTCTTTGGTTGTTGTTGCTGCTGTTGTTAGTTTAGGGTTTTCTGAGATAAGGCCTTACCGTAAACCTTTTGGACTGGAACCCTTTGTCTAGTTGAGAGAGTTGGTCTCTTACTAGAGACAATCCTCTTGCCTCAGGTTGCCAAGAGCCAGGATGGTAGTAGTGAGCCACCATGCCCAGTTATAGATAGGTTTTCAAGAGGGGAAATTCTTTTCAAAGCAGTATTCAAGACATTTTGACTAATGGGATGAAGATGAGGAAGAGGATGTTATATTAAGTGGTAGTTAAGAGGTAGCCTGTCTGAATTTCCCTGGGATAGTCTTGATTTAAATTATAGTTTTCTGAGATACATATATTTTTAAAAGGTAGCACAGCAAAATGATACAAAAATGCCACTGAGTTCATTTTGTGTTGGTCAGCTACTCCTGGGCATGGGGCCTGCCCTGGGCATGGTTCATAGGCGATATGAGGCTGCATTGGAGGAAACTGGTTTTCCCTTTCCCAGTGGGTATCAGTTGCAGATAGCTTCTTGGTTAGGGATGGGAGCCCATGTCCACTTCCCTCATCGATGCTGGGCTCATCTGGTTTTAACCGGTACAGGCCTTGTGCATGCTGCCCCAGTCTCTATGAGTTCATATGTGCCGTGTGGGCATCAGTCCTACTGTGTTTGGACTTTTTTTCCCCGTCTTACCGGTCTCTTTTGTTACTTTGATTTCTGGCATTCTTGGGGAAGGGGTTTGTGTGTGTTGTTTCTTTTTGCTTGTATTTGTTTTGTTGGTTTTGGTTTTGGGGTTTTTTATTATTTATTTTTTACTTTTTTTATTTTTTTGAGACAGGGTTTCTCTGTGTAGTTTTGGTGCCTGTCCTGGATCTCCCTCTGTAGACCAGGCTGGCCTCGAACTCACAAAGATCCTCCTGCCTCTGCCTCCCGAGTGCTGGGATTAAAGGCGTGCACCACCCCCACCCGGCTTGTTGTTTTTTAGGAGAGAGGATAAGGGACAAAGTTAGGTTGTTAAGTAAGTGGGGAAGATCCTGAAGAAATGGGAAGAAAGGAAAAACATAATCTAAATATATGGTATGAAAAAAATACTTTCAATTAA